ACGTTCTAACTGTATTCCCCGAAACACAAGAAAGATAACTGATTCCGATAACTGTTATGTGAAACCATTGCAAGATAAAGAAATTAAGGTCTCGTACGACATTACGCTAGAGAAGTTTGAAAACGCAGCTTTATTTCTACAGTTTCGCCTACCGTCCACACTAATCCGTCACGAAAACAGGGTTTTTCGAAAACGCTCTTCAAACCGGAGGAATTTAAAAACGCGGGCTTTGCGTTTGTGTGAATGGAAAACATTTTGAAAACGTTGGAGCTTTGCGAAAACGATGACGTCACAAAAGTCGTGATTTTCCTGGTTGAGTGTTTTTTTTTTTCAAATACAAATCCAAAAATTAAATGACCGGTGATTGTTGTGTTTTCAAATTTCTCCGGCGTAGTGTGGACGGAAAACATTTGAGTTTTCAGCATGAAAACACCGTGATCAAATTTCTCCATCGTATGTGGACGAGGTCTCAACTGGAACAGACGGTTTTCGTATTCTCGGCATTGGACTGCAGCTAGCTTGCAAACCGAGGCTAATGCGGGGAATATTTTCAAAGGCAAATGATATTAATCTCTTTTTAATAATATTTTCCCGCGTGAGCCTCCAGTGCGAGCAAGGTCCAGCCTAATACCCAGAATACGAAAATGGTCAGTTCACTTCAAACAGTGTTAAAACCAAGTGCTAATGGCTTCCGCGTACGCTTAGAAGCGACAAAACACCCGCACACAAACAAACCGGCAAGAAACAAAAAAAAACAAAACAAAACAGAACTATACAAACAAGTTAGTGTTTTATTGCCGGAACTCTCCACAATTCATCTGGGACTCAAATCACACAACTTATCTTTAGTCTTACATGTAACAATACTGAAGCTCTCAAGGTCATGCTTGTCAGTTATCGTACTGTAACAAACAAGAAGAATTCGATTTTGGCCATTTTGGTGTGGTACATATTCAGTAACGTCTCATAACAACTGTCGTGTCAACTAGGTGTCATTCTTTTTTAATAGCTACAATATACAATAAGAAAGGGAATTGAAACAACTAGCTGCCTGTGTTAACAAGGTGCTGAATTAAATGTGCAACCATTAGCGGGGTGTGACTTTAGATATGACAACAAAACCACCTTTAAAGCTATGGTGAGTACAATGCCCAGGCGTTAAATTCGTTTCCAAAATTCTGTAGGCAAAGTTAATTTAACATGGATTTCATAAGTAAAGTTCCACAATGCAATGTTGTCATAGCATCCTGTAGAAATTTGCCTTCCATGTTCAGTAACTCATTAGCTCTTATCTTTTGACGCACATTTCATGTACTTGTACACTAGTTACAGGCGAGGCTTAATTCAGGTTTTGTTAGCTCACTTCATTCATTGTGACCTGCAAAATATAAATTGAAGAACGAATACTTTTTTTATCCTTCGCCTTCATTTGTCACCTTGAAAAATAGATTCCNACAAAACTCTACAAACAAGTTAGTGTTTTATTGGCGGAACTCTCCACAATTCATCTGGGACTCAAATCACCCAACTTATCTTTACTCTTACATGTAACAATACTGAAGCTCTCAAGGTCATGCTTGTCAGTTATCATACTGTAACAAACAAGACGAATTCGATTTTGGCCATTTTGGTCTGGTACATATTCACTAACGTCTCATAACAACTGTCGTGCCAACTAGGTGTTATTCTTTTTTTTTTTAATTGCTATAATAAGAATGGGAACTGAAACTACTGTGTGTTAACAAGGTGCCGCATTAAATGTGCAACCATTAACGGGGTATGACTACACTGCAAAGTTTCTACTTAATGAGCTTTCGATATGACAACAAAACCAACATTAAAGTCACGGTGAGTACAATGCCCAGGCGTTAAATTCGTTTCCAAAATTCTGTAGGCAAAGGTTAATTTAATATGGATTTCACAAGTAAAGTTCCACAATGCAATGTTGTCATAGCATTCTGTAGAAATTTGACTTCCATGTTCAGTAACTCATTTGCTCTTATCTTTTGACGCACATGTCATGTACTTGTACACTAGTTACAGTCGAGGCTTAATTCAGGTTTTGTTAGCTCACTTCATTCATTGTGACCTGCAAAATATAAATTGAAGAACGAATACTTTTTTAATCCTGCGCCTTCACTTGTCACTTTGAAAAATAGATTCCATGTTGCCGTGCGTCTGTTCAGTTATTGATCACAGATGACATCAAAATGTAAGAACAAAACAGCAGCAGTCAGTTTGTAGAAGCAGAACTAGTATGTATCAATAGCCAAATTGTAAAAAGCATTTTTTAAATCGATTTTACCTCTTGCGAAGTGTGTTTTTCATTATCACTTTTGTTCTTGACCTTTTTCTTGCTCTTTTTTTGAAAGTTTCTTTGGAATACCTTGGTTGATCCTCTACCAAAACATATTGTTCTTGGCAACCTGGAAATAGAAACAATTAAAAATTACAACTCAGTACAATTAATGACTATTAATAAATTATTCTTATTGAAATGTCAAGGAATGACAAAGGGCATAAGGTAATTAAACAGTCCTCTCAGGCTGGTACTTGTTTCCGGTTTCTGTACTACAATGATAATAAGGAAAATCATTTCAATCCTGAAAGCACATAGTTCTCAAAAATTTGGGGCCCCAACCAACATTTGTAACTGTGTTTTGTCATAATGTAGTAGGCTGCCAAAAGCAAGTACACTGTAAATAGAAATTCTGGTAAATTGTTTTAGACTCCATGTTACCTCTGTTTTGGTGTGGTGTTGGCTGTGGACTCAGCTGCCTACAAGAACAGACACAATAATATTACTTTGTCCAAGATACCTGTGTGAAGTGTGGCATGTGCTCATGAATCATTAGGTAAACTTGTAATTAATGTATAATTGGTAAAGCAGCATGTGGACCACAGATTGAGCAGTTTTCAATTGAGTTAACATTGTAAAACGAAATCCAATTGCTTGCCAATTAGATTACTCTGCCAATCTCAAACCGTAGTAAAAACAAAACCAAAAACAAATTAACTACCTGATTACTTTTGGTTCTCAACTGAAAACCACTCTATACTATATTGTGCATAATTTACCGGTACTTCAAATAATCCAGTTGAGACAAACCTACACATTGTGCAATAATATATGCAAATAATATAGAATTGTACAATAATATATGTTGTGTCCCCTATATAATGATGAAAATCACTATATAATGATGTCAAACACTGAAAATCCACGTCACCCTCTTCTCATTAGCCTGCGTAGCAGGCTTTTCGAAAAAAGCAAACAAAGGGAACAAAACTGCGAGCGAGTGCAAAAAATAAGTGAACACGAGGAGCGGGTTCCCTCCCCCTTCTCGCTCACCCCCTCCCCACTTCTCCCAATTTTTTTCTCACCCCAGGTGTGCTCCTTCACTTGCCTGCTTGCTCGCTCGCTTGTTCACTCTCCCTTCCTGGAAAAGGAAACATCTGCTACGCAGGCTATCCTCTCATTCAATATTAACATTGTTTTTAAGAGCTCACAGACAAAAAATAAAGTTGAAATTCATTATCATATCTTACACATTACAGATTTCAAATGTTGCTTTTGTTTTTTGACACAGGAATTAAAACTGAATTTGGAAACTTACAGTAATTAATTAGGCAAGCACAATTAGACTTGGTAAACCTTCAAGATCTGTAAGCTCACAGCTCATATATATACATATGTACTTTATGTCTTTTATGAATTGTGATCAATAATATACATGTAAATAAATAATGGTATTGAAATGATTGGGGTATGTGGAAATACTATTTCCACATTGCTAGCCAAGGGTACCGAACACTGTACTTTGAATTTGGAGTCCATAATTATTTACCCAGAAAAATACATCGATAATAAATCATATCAGACTGTGTAGTAACTTCACCTGGGGTATATGTGATGT